ACACGTTGAAGATTGTTTAACTCGTTGACTCTTAGGCATTGCTATATTGATTCAATGATTGAGTCTGCATTAAAATATTTTAATTTGCTTAATCCCAGAAAATGCTATTTCACTGAACTAGTTTCTGAAACAGCATACCGTACACGGAGGGTTAACTGCTCCTTATGTTTGCCCCCTTGCTTCATCTACCATTATCACATACATTACCGATTTCTTAAATTCACTGCTTCATGTCACTTGTTCTGAACAGCACCGAATAAAATAAAGTTTACATCCACTATTGTCGGAACAAGAAGTTTATATGAAAACAAGTTTCGACACTCACGTGTCTTCTTCAATTCAACTTTTCTTTGTGAGAGAAAAATGTAAACAGTTTTTTTAATACTCTACACGGTATTGCGCATTTACTTGCTATGGTACTGAATAACTTCATTCTGAGATGAAGGGGAAGTATAGCTAGCATTCAATAAAATTTCCTCAGTTTTGGCTTTCTTCATTTTCATCGTGACCTCTAAATAATGCACCATAAATGCTCCCATCTTTCTCTGATTTCCATTATAATGCCGTGCACCTTTCTATCTCTGAAGGCCACCCAAGCCAGCATGCTTGCCTTATGAACAACTGCTTTTTCATGCTCATAAATATAATGCTCTCTTACAGTTTTTGAAGCCATTATTAATCAATGTGTCTATGTTACATCTGGTGAGTTTTGGCCCAAAGTTTTTGCATGCAAGACAAAATGAAACATTTTGTTGAACAGAGTATTCCAACTACCTGTGCTTCTCAAACCAGGGTTATTGAAAGGAGCATCTTTTTTACCCAAATCACTCATTGGGATACTGCGTTAACCTTGGCTGCACTGGGCCATACTCAATATCTCTTCAATCAAAAGCTTCACTAGCTGAACTGAAATCCAGTAGTTTGACATTTGATGTCTCTGTTTTAATACTATGACCGTCTTCTGCACCTGACAGACCACCATGACTGAGCTGCTCTTCATTCCCTGTTTTTTCTCGCTGACGTGGCTGTGATGCAAATTTACTGGTAAAAAATTGCCGGATATCCATTCTCTACGAAGAATGAAAAATATTTTTTAAGCACTAGCGAAATTAAACACTCAATTAACAAGACATTGAAATGAACAAGATTAAACAATCAAATTCGGTTTTTCACTAATAAAAACTACGTCCTAATTTACTAAACAATAATACATTCTAATTTACTAACAGTAAATTCCGTCATATAATTCACCAATCAACTAATTTTATCAACACTAATTTGCTAACACTGTGCGCTAATCCTATTATTAATCAACCAACCAACAATTATCGACCAAATAGAAGGAGCGCCAAAATATCTTCAAAACACTAAAATAAACTCGCTAACATGGGCGTTTGCAGAACGTTTTTCGGGGGGAGGGGGATTAAAATACTATTAAGTACTACCCATGAGCATCCGCAGAAATTTCTCTAGGAGTCAAGAGAATAGGCAAGCTCCCACAGTCAGATTTGATGGGTTTAATATTTGTAAGGTTAGTTTAAGACATACTTTAGACTTGCAGTTATATGTACTTCATAATAGTAAATTTTGATTTGCTCTTTTAAGTTCTTATCCCTATAAGGTAATTTCACCTTATATAATACAACTGTTTATATGAATACAGTAATTTAAGGTTATATACAGCACAATATTTTAATGTCATTTATTGTGTATGTATGGTAAGAACAACAAGACTGCGTCAGTCTCTTTGATAACCTGCTGCTGGTATTACTGGTAGGTGGCAACAGATTGACCCTGACCACATTGTCTTGGGGCTCAGGCGATGTCGGCAAGACGCATCGATCTCTTTGAAGACCTGAGTGAGAATTGCCATTTCAACTATCCAAGAAGCCGCCGTGGTAGCGGCATTTTTCAATATTTAACTCCAGGGTAGGTATTGAGGGGTTTTAAGTAAAGCTTCTGACAAACCTGGTGAAAATTGAATTTGATAAGCACTGTGAAATTGTGAAGTGAATAAATAAAACTTGCAAGTTCTTATACATATGCTGAATGAATAAAGTGAGAATTACGTTTCTTATTTTCTGGGGGGGGGGGGGAGCAAGTACTTCCCCTGTGGACGCCCATGTTCTCTAACTCAAAATATCACACTTAAAATGAGCTTACAAATTCGTATCAATTAATCTCATACTATAAAACACAGTGTGTTTTTGTCTGTCTGTCTCTCAGTCACGCACTGATATCATAACAACTTGTTGCGTCAGCGACGTCACGTTACAAGTATCAGCCACCTCCTTCTAGAAATATCCTGTTCCTTCATGAATTATCGGGAGACTACTAGATTGGGGTAGTCTGGTATATATAAGACCGGCCACGAAGCGACGGGGAGGTAATGAGTAATTGAACT